AATAATCAAAGGAAGAGTATTTTGTAACCTGCGACAATGACACAAAACCCGTGTGAGTGACCTTCAAGTTTTACTGCATCATAGCTGCCTTCATTCTCTAGAAGCATTTGGTGCTAAAGCTGTCACACTATGCAGGGCTGAGTGGCAGAGACAGACCATATGACCCAGGAGCCCATGTCATTTACTATCTGGCCTTCTCTGTAAAGTTTGCTGATTTAAAGGCTGAGCTAGGCGAACAGCTCAGCCTTTAAATCAACATTCCACAGCAGAATGAATCCCAGGGTATTCAAAGTGACTTCCATTGGCAAGGTTACCTTTACAATTAAGTCTACAAAGCAACTGCCTGAAGTTTGTGCCTCAAAGTTGTGTCAGGTAGTTTCCCTTTTGACAGAGCTGAGACCTAGTAAAGGCTCTTTTAGTTCATATGAATTAGCTGTTGAGTTTTCTCCACTTGATTTCCAACACTCTGAATTCAGAAAGTCCCAGTTCTAACCACTACCTTCCCGCCATATCCTTTCTGAAGGCAATAGCTAAGACAGAACCTCGAAAGGAACAGGAAGTTGTATATGTATCCAAACGAGGCAGTTTCATCTTCCTCCCTGGATAAGAAGCTGCTTGAGGACAGACCTTGTGTCTAAACCCCTCCTGTCAGAGGCCTGCCGGGCATCAGTCAGAAGCAGCTCCCTCTGGCAGCTCCCTCTACCAAAGCCCAAGATGCAGATATGATTATAGACCATTGTGATTTCTTTTTTCCACATACATATAAGTCTGGTCCTTGCTATGGGAGTCTCCTTCTAAGACACAGGAGAGGCGTTATAAAAATATAAAAGGAAAGAAGCATCTGTGTTAAGTCCTTGAATTATCCTGGAAGCAGAAAACACAGATTCAGCGGGAAGCCACCAGGAAGGGACATTATTCAACTCAGCTGACCAAAGAGCACAAGACAATCCTGGAGGCCCATGCATGCTTTTGGGGCAGTGAAGCACAGGTGAATCACCCTCGTGGAGGAGAACATCATTTGAAGCAGAGTCAAGCTCTAGGTGATTGCCATTTAGAATGAGCTATACTCCCTGGAAGCAGTGCTCCTAGTTTGTTTCCCAGCCCAGGCTGCAGACCAGGCTCAGGAGACAAGACTGTTAGCAGTGGCCCCTCAAGCCAGCCAGCCAGCCAGCCAGCCAGCCAGCCTTGGGGCTGAAGCTCACTATCTCAGACAGGGCAGGCAGCTGAGGTCCAAGTTGTTGACTACAGATACCCAGTGGTCAAGTTGCTCTGCCTTTCTGCAGTTATCAAGACTTCTGTCCCGACTCTGCAAACAGGTACCACATAGCACAGTGTCCTCCACCCTTAGTCGCTCTCAGGGTCACCACGACAAACTAATTTCTTGGAAAGGCAAAACCTCTGGATTAGCTAAAGACTGATCTCTAATTGAGGTTGACATAAAAGGATATACTTTTTTGCGACTGCCACCCAAAACATGGACACAGTGAACTGTGGCAGACAAAGCCTCAGAGAACAACTCCAAACAGCAGGCTACTGAAAAGGCACCAAGGAAAAATGAATTTTGTGAGGGCAAAGCAGGCAACAGGGACAGGAGAACAAATGCTGTGGCTTCTGAATGGGGCCATTTAACTGATTTATAAACTGTCTCACCAGTGTCCTTGGCTGTGGAGATTGATGCCTCCATCTAATGCAGGGGTCTGCAGACTTGTTTTCTGGGGAAGGAATCAACTCCAAGGATGAAAATTCATTACTTTCTAACCTTAATTAACTGGAAACTAATTAGGATTTTGAGGGTGTTTTTTTCCCCTTTAAAAGGAAACTTTAAAAGGAGGAAAACCAAACAAAGAGCTACTTGGATGTCCTGCATATAAGCAACTCATTTAACTTATTGTGGGAGCCTCAGACTTCTGGTTTATGAATTAAATCAGCATATATCAGGTATGTAGATACCTCAAGTCTTTTCAGCAATACAGCTCTGATTCTCAGACATGCCAACAGCTCATCATCCATCAGTAACCCGCAGTCATTCCCCTGATAACCACACCTTTTTCTAATAGAGCTGAGGTTGCCTTTGGCTTTCTCCAGGTCACAAACCATTTCATAAATTTAATCCAGTTGGAGTTTTTACATCAGCCTAATGGAGTAATGTCTCTAAGATGTGACTGCAGAAATCCCCTCATCTGATGGGCAGTCATTCTAGAAGTCAAGCAAGGAAGGGAACTATGCTGAAGAGGCACACACTAAACATTTTGTGTTGTAACTTGATTTATATAAATGTTTCTTTACCATTTTTGAAAAAAGCAAGACTCTACAAAAAGCTGGTGCCTGGTGTGGTAGCTCTTGGGAAACTGAGGCAGGAGGCTAGCCATGAGTCCATGAGTTCAAGGCTAGCCTGAGCTATAGAATGAGGAAAAACTAGATTCATTCTTTTCCCTCCCTCCCTTCCTTTTTTTTTTTTTTCAAATCTTGCTCTATAGCCCAGATGGTCTAGAATTTTCAGTTCTCCTGTTTTAGCCTCCTGAGTACTAGAATTACAGACATACAACACCATAGATTTCTATGGTCTTTTCTGAGGAAACTAAACTCATTTTCTGAAAGTACCTCTCCAATTAATTTGTAAAGCAATTTGAGTCCAGAATAATTCCCAAGTTTTAGGACTTCCCCTATATAGCTGTCTATTCAAAGACAGAAATTCTGATTCATTCTCATTTAGGTCTTTCTAAAATATTTAACTGAGCTTTAAAACAAAAACAGAAACAGTAGCTTTCTTCTGAGGCTTGTATTTGATTAGTTACTCTAATATTTAGTCAAGTTGCATAATTACAGCAATCTACAACTGGCATACTCAAGTTTGGGAGTACATGTACAATCCCTTGATGGGAGAAGAGGGTGCCAGGCAGCATGTGCCACATGCCATGGGCACTGAGCACTGCTTTACACAGAAAGGAGGGTGAGCACTGATGAGACCTGGGGCATTCAGGCAGTTACAAAGGCAGGTGGAGAGGCAAGACTGGAGTTAGGGAAGGAAGTCAGAGCTGAGAGACAGATCTGGCATCATTATCATCAACCCAGTTGGTACTTAAATCAGGAGAGTAGAGGAACTAGCTCAGGGAGGGACTGTGGGTAGAGATGCCACGAAGGAGGGCTAAATCCTCAGGAATGCTGAGCTTGAAGCAGTGATCAGAGGAAGACGCTTCTGTAAGGGGGACAGAGAAAGAGATCTAGAGACCCAGGAAGTAGCTTCAAAGGGCCTAGTAACGAACTGAAGTCCAGGAAGCAAGAACCTGGACATGATAATCTGTGGAGGGAGGGCAATGTGTGAGAAATGGTGTGTGTGATTGCATAGGAAGGTGGAGGCATTCTTTAATCTTCTATGTTGTCGGTAGCACGCCCTCCAGCTCCCCTCTCTCCCAGCGTCTACTCTGCCTACTGTCTTCTGTGGTCACACGGACAGGCCTGCCCAGGCTGCCAGCACCCAGGCAGGGTAGAAGAGAAAGTCCAGAAGTTGCCCAGACGTACCCCATCACCCCCATCCCAGAGCAGTTCCCTTCCTCCTAGGCTGGGGTGGCACCTATTTGTAATGCCTGCTAATAAGCACTGGTGCGAACAAGTGGCAGAAAGGAGGAGAAATCAGAGCTTCCACTGTAAAACAAGGCTTCTTCAGATGTCTCCCAGCTGAGAGGCTCAGGAATAAGGTCTCTCTGTGGCAAGAAATGCCAACAGCCTGTTAAAGAGCTCCCTCAGTCGATCCCAGCAGCCTTGCTGCTTGCTACCTGCTTTATTTTTCAGACAAGACTTCCCATAGCACACAAAGGCCAGGGAAAGAGACTGTGGGTAAGAATACAAAAGAAAGAAATCTCAAGGCACAAAACTCAGGCTTTAATGTACCAGCCAGCAGCAAAGAGTTCCTAGATGCTAACAGCTAACAGTTACTGACTCTGGGACCTAGAAAGTCACTCAGGTTTAAGTGACAGTTGCCTATGACCCAGACCCAGTGGGCTGACAGCATGGCTGTGACATTCCAGAGTGAGCAATTTCATTCTAGGCCACTATTGGCCTCAGCAGCCAACCTCTTCAGGCTCTTGTGGCCTATACTCTTTAGACATTAATCTGCAGCTTGCAAACTGAATCCTTTTTGGAAAATGAGAAAAAAAATGGCTTTTTGCTGAGCCTCAGGACCAGATACTTGGTCAGCCACCTCCTGAATTTGCATATCTCCATGAAAAACTTGGGGTGAGTGTGACAGTTTGAATCTGAAGTGTCCCCTGAAAGGCCCAGCTGCTGGGAGTGTTTGGGAAGTGATTAGATCCTGAGGGCTCTGACTAAATCAATGGATTAATCCCTCAACGCGGTCAGAACGATGCATTGCTGGGAGGTGGTACCTCACTGAAAGAAGCTGGTCACTGGGGGCATGCTCTAGAAATGTATTCCTTAAGTCTGCCCCACCCCAGCGTACGGCTGCCAGGAGATAAGAAGCTCTGCCTTGCCATATGCTCCTCGCCATGTCGTTTCCCTCACCGTGGCCCAGGAACAATAGAGCCAAGTCCATGCACTGAACCCTCAGAAACCACAGGCCAAAATAAATCTTGTCTCACTTGTTTTTCCCAGGCATTTGTCACAGCAACACAAAGTGTAACCCAGTAAGTATTCAACCTCGAATACAGGCTTTCCAGGGAAGAACAGCTGGGAATTTGAGTCACAGGATTGCCTACACAGACACTCATGTTACCAGGTCTCACACCTGTGGCGTCTAGAAGGCCTGCCTGCCTTGGAGAGCAGAGTGGTGGAATGGCAGGGGAAGTAGGTGGGAAGAAACCACCAAGCTGTCTTTTGTCCATGGGCTTCAGGCATAAGCTAAATTTAACGGCTGCACTGAACAAAAAAGACTGACTGACCTGATCCAAACGGAGAGCACCATCCACAAAGCGCTGCCGGCGAAGCTGCTTTGCAATGCTGTGCAGGTTCAGGACAGCCTGGTGCACCTCCTTGCTGCTGTGTTCTGGGGAAATGGGGGGTAGCTCTTCCTCACGGATCTTCCCAGTTGGGTTTTCAATCATGCTCTGGGCATGGTCATAGCTCAGTTTAGTGCAGGAGCAGATGATGGTCCGGCCAAACCACTCTTTAAGAATCTGCAAAGACAGACCAAGTGTGAGGACGTCAGGCAGAGATTTAGTTCTAGATTTTTTCTTCTTTAACCACCCATATACACACACTTAGTGGAGCACTGACAGGTGTCATATGGATGAACCAGACATATAAGCTGTTGCCCTCAGGCAGTGTAGACTCTACCAAGCCTGGACTGAATTCAACAGGCATCTGAGGTCTATACATATCTCCAAGCACACAGCACTCCAAGCCTCCATATAGGAGGCTTGCACTAAAAGGCCTGTGGGAAACATTTCCATTAGTTTGGTGAATGGTCATCAATGTCACACAGCTGCCCAAGATGTGACAGATGGGGCTCTGTGGGCTGGTTAATGGCTTAGAGAAGGAGAGAGGTAAAGAGAGGAGCCCAGGAGTTTCCACTCACCAAATTTCTACTAAACACAGCTTCTATCCTAGATAGATGCAAGGACCCCTTTGGTAGGCTCAACCTCCTGCAAAGGAAAAACTGAAGATCTAAAAATGGCAGCATAAGGGAACAGAGGAGAGTAATACATTTTTATTGTTGTTGTTTTGTTTGTTGTATAGCCTAGATGGCCTAGAATTCACTAAGTAGACCAGACTGGCCTGAACTCACCTGGCTTTGCCCCTGAGTGTTGGGATTAAAGGCTTGTGCCCCATGCCATCTCCACTTACATTTGTATTCCCTCACCAAACTGCAAAGATCTTTATCTGTAATCTGTAATCTTAGACTTCAATTTTTCTTCAAAAAAATCCTAAAACTACACTTTCCAGATTATTCTAAGGACTATCCTCCTTGCAAAATACAAGGGACTCTGTGTTCATGTTTTCTACCACATCTGGTACTCAGGAGGCCTGCATGCTACAGGAAGGACAACTAGAGAGCCAGTTCCAGGTGCTGGCTAGCAGTTTGGAGGCAGATGTGGTGAGAGGTCTCCTCAAGAACCCCTTCCAGGTCACACAGGCTTGAGCTTTGCGCATACCCACATTTCCTGAATAGAGCTGCTCCAACCTCTTCTAGAATGACAGGGCCATGACCTCTTCATTTTTGTGGTCTCAATTTTCCCTCTGGTGACTTAGTTTGTTTCCTTTTCCCCATGCCCTTCCGAACCCAGTTCCCTCCCTCTCCTGTGTGTCCACATGTGTTGGGCAGCCTGTTTTTGGCCTGCTCAGGGATGCATGGTAGCTTATACTCTGGGCTATCCTTCCTGCACCCAGGTTATGGCATGTGGCCTCCGGGGGTCTGCAGGCTCTTCCCCAGTAATGATGCTTAAGGGAAGGTAATCACCATAACCCCAAAGGAGTATCTGTTGTCATATAAACTGGAGAGTCAAGAACGTCTTTAAAATCTAATGATTTCTCCGGGTACTTGTGCACAAAGTTTTGTAGCAAGCTACATGAGGTTCTGAGATAGCTTTCTGTTCCAAAGCCCATGTGTCCTGACTCTACACATCTCTGTTGCTTCTTGGTATTCTCTGATTGCTGAGCCCTGGCCAGCAGCCATGCATAACCCCCGGGTACTTGTGCACAAAGTTTTGCAGCAAGCTACATGAGGTTCTGAGATAGCTTTCTGTTCCAAAGCCCATGTGTCCTGACTCTACACATCTCTGTTGCTTTTTGGTATTCTCTGATTGCTGAGCCCTGGCCAGCAGCCATGCATAACCCTAAGGAGTTTTAAATTAAATTAAAAAAAATTTTTATGGGTATGAGTGTATTCCCTGAACGTAAGTGCATTTGTGTTGTGCAATGCCTATGATGGTCAAAAGAAGTCAGATCCCTTGGAACTACACTTACAGACGGTTGTTTGCTACCATGTGGGTGCTGGGAATCAAACCTGGGTGCTCTGCAAGAGCAGTCAATGCTCTTAACTGCTGAGCCATCTACCTAGCCCCACCCTAAGGAGTTTTTAAAGTCTATTACATGCCTTGACAGAATCAGAGGCCTACTATCCTGTAGTGTCAAAGCCTGCACATGTACCCATTGACATTATGCTATCAGAAGCACCTTTATTAACCAATGGGCCTCTTTGCGCTTTTGTTTCCTTCTTGGTCAAGACAGGTCTGTTTTCCACTGTGCACATGGACACCATCAAACTTGCCACCTCCAAGGTGGTAAGCGTCTCAGCATCTTTACCTGAGCTCAGCCTTGTTCTATTCAAAGCTGCATCTCTCAAAAAAAAAAAAAAAGGAGGTGAAACGTTCTTCACAAACACACGAAGGGCTGAGGTGGAGGCCTGGAGGCCTTCAGGAGCTTCCTTCCCTCTGCACCCCAGCCTGCTTTAGTACGGCCCAGCGCTTGTGGGAGGCACAGCTAACAGAGGTGCTGAAACAGTTCCTATGGCTGGGAAAAGCAGTCTGGAAACTATCTCTGGGGAAGGTAAGAAAAAAGAAGGGATTCCAGAGGCAGCTGCACATGGAGAAGGCAACAAAAGCCCACATGGAGGAGAACCCGGAGCAGCCAGCCACATGGTGTGGAAGGCAGACCGCTTTCAATGAACACCTCATTAATTTCCAATCTGAAAACTGTATTCACATCAACACCCAGTCCATAACCAGGGCCAGTGGCAGGAGACAGAAGGACAAAAGAGTTTTTGTGGAAAAAGTGAAAACAAAACAAAACAAACCATGGGGAAGCACATGAACTAAACCCTTCAGAAGTAGATGGTGGCCTGCCTTTCCTTTGCTTGGTCACAAAATTCAAGTCACTCCCTTCCCTAGGCAGCACACACTGTGAAGTGCCACTGTTCAGAAGGTCAGGTTAAAGACAGTGCTACTTGAATGAGGACACATTGCTGAGAAGACACATTGCCTAACAAGGCATCCCACCTCCAATCTTCTTCCTGATACCCAATAAGACTGAAATCAGCAGGGCACTGCTGGCCCCAGCCTCAGGTCCACTGCCTTTGAGCATCTATTTAACACATCTTGGAGCAGGCATTTTGCAGCCCATTTTACAGCTTGACAAACAGGTAGGTGCTGGGAATCCAACCCAGGTCCTGTGCAAGAGCATCCAGTGCTCTTAACTGCTGAGCCATCTCTCCAGCCCCACAGATGGGGACTTCTTAAGACTCACACAAACTGTAAGATCTACACCTAGACTCAGACTCGAGATCTACTGGTACTTTTTTAATTCTCTCTCTCTCTCTCTCTTTTTTTTGCTTAATGTCATAAAACAGATGATAAAAAAAATTAAATCTCAAGTAGATACTAATTTTCTATAGTTTATAGTGTGAGGAAACATTGAACATCCTGTCCAATTCCATGAAAATGCTTTTAAAAAACTGTTCACTGCAAAGTGTCAGTCCCTCATTAAAACATCTTTGATTCAAAACTACTAATGGAGTTAATTTTAAAAATTTAAATAAATAAATATAAAATGACTTTGGCAGTAACTCTGGACTTCCAGATAGAAAACACTTAGTTCAAAAAGCCTATTAGGCAGAAAGAAACCTCCTTCTTATTGAACAAAAGCAGACTACTTAGAGTGGTGGTGGTGTTTGGGGTAGGTAGCGACAGCAGCTGCTGCTTCCTACAGCTATGAATGCAGGGCCATCACTGGCCAGCATGGCCAAAAGGGAAGGTAAAGATGCCAAGAAGAAAGTGTCTGAAAAAAGACCTTGGGCAGAAAGAAGAGAGGTTGGACAATAGCAAAGGGCAGGTAGTATCTGATGGAAAGGAAGTGGACTCCCTAGGGAAGGCCCTGTGATCTGGCTAGAGCTGCAAGGTGGGCAGGAGCCCCTTCACTAGTCCCTCCCCTGCTTGAGGTCCAAAGTGACAGAGAGAAGCCCAGATTTATTTGTTTAGTGGGAAAAACACACCAGGGTCTGATGATGATGTCTGTGGCAAGGCTGCCTCCCAAGCAGTAGCAGCTCCATTTACCCCATAGGCTTGCTCTCTCCTGTTGACAGGCCCTCAGAACCCTCCACAGAGGGGGGCTTTGTGGGAACACTGGCAGCAAAGGGACAGCTTCACATCTAACAGCCTGTGTGATTTCCAAGTCAGTCTGTTCACCTGCTATAATTCTCTAAAAGACTTATTTGCTCATCTGGCTTGCCTGCTGGTCTTAAGAGCCATCATCCCCATCTTGATCTGTTGTCAACTGTCTAAACTTTGGAGCCCAAGACAAAGTAGATAAAACTTTAAGTCTCGCTGGGCGTGGTGGCACATGCCTTTAATCCCAGTACTTGGGAGGCAGAGGCAGGCAGATCTTTGTTAGTTCAAGGCCAGCTTGGTCTACATAGTGAGTTCCAGGATAGCTGGGGCTACAGGGAGACCCTGTCTCAAAAAGACCAAACAAACAAACAAACAAACAACCCAAAAAACCAACTTAAGTCTCTGTCACATGTACCTACCAGAGGGGAACTTAGGACAGTGAGGGGTCTCTGGATGTGCCTAGGAGATAGGAATTTCATTCTGTGACAGTATATGAGGGCACTTGAATAGGTGTGGCTTTGAAAAATCTTCCTTTCAAGGCTCATCTTTGGGAGGCCTAGGGAATGGGAAAGAAGCTAGAGATGGGGAAGGCCAAAAGCAAGGAAGGAAAGTGTGGGAAGCATGGGAGCAAGTCTTGACCCAGGAAACATCAGTGATCCCTTCCAACAAAGAGGTTAATCCAGTGTCCCAGTCTTTCTTTGAACAGGACACATGAAAACTAGCTTACAAACAGCCACCTGTCCTTGTTTAGAAAACCTTCAGCACAGTCATCCGTTTACTAACCTCTGAGCTCAGCTCTTCACGTTTAACTCAAGGCCATGTTTTTTTAAAAAAAATTTTATTTATTATTTTTATTTTATGTGTATGAGTATACTGCCTGCATGTATGTGAGTGCACCTGTGTCGTGCAATGCCACAGAGGTCAGAAGAGGGCTTCGGATTCCCCTGGAACTGGTGTTAAAGACGGTTTGTAGCTGCCATGTGGGTGCTGGGAATCGAACCTGGGTCCTCTGCAAGAGCAGTCAGTGCTCTTAACTGCTGAGCCATCTCTCCAGCCCCAAGGCCATAATTTTAAAAAATATTTTATTTATAATTTTTATTTTATGAGTGTATTGCCTGCATGTATGTAAGTGCACCCATGTCATGCAATGCCCATGGAGGTCAGAAGAGGGCGTCACATCCCCTGGACTGGAGTTATGGATGGATACTAGATGTCAAGACCATGATTAATGACATCAAAATACAGGAGAAAAGTTGATTAAATGAAATCAGCTTTTGGGGGGCTGGAGAGATGGCTCAGTGGTTAAGAACACTGGCTGTTCTTGCAGAAGACTCGGGTTCGAGGCCCAGCACCCACATGGCAGCTGGCAGCTGGTCATAACTCCAGTTCCAGGGATCCACGGCCTCTTCTGTCCTCTGTGGGCATTGCACGACACAGGTGTATTTAGGTACCTGTATTTAGGTAATACAGGCATACACATAAAATAAATTTAAATTTGAAAAAAATAAAAATAAAAAAAATCAGCTTTTTGCTTGACAATC